CTGACACTGTGTGGTTTGAGCAAACCACCCAGAGACTTTGGGCCTCCATTTTTTCCTCAGTTTCTTTACCTGTGAAATGAGGAGATTTGATAAGATGAAATTTTTTTTTTTTTTTTGAGATGGAGTCTCACTGTGTTGCCCAGGCTAGAGTGCCGTGGCGTCATCCTAGCTCACAGCAACCTCAAACTCCTGGGCTCAAGCGATCCTCCTGCCTCAGCCTCCCGAGTAGCTGGGACTACAGGCATGCGCCACCATGCCTGGCTAATTTTTCCTATATATTTTTAGTTGTCCAATTAATTTCTTTCTAATTTTAGTAGAGACGGGGTCTCGCTCTCGCTCAGGCTGATTTCGAACTCCTGAGCTCAAACAATCTGCCTGCCTCGGCCTCCCAGAGAGCTAGGATTACAGGCGTGAGCCACCGGGCCCGGCCAATAAGATGAAATTTTATCAATGGTTAGAATATCCTTTGGATTAACTGCTGCTTTCCTGCCACTGTCTCATACATGTCAACTTTCCTAGCTTTTCTTCTGCTTCACAGGCTGTACTCTCTCAGTCATCGTTGCTAAGTCTGATATGTTGGAGGGCCCCAGAGCTCAGCCCCATTTGTCTTCTCTGTCCACACGCATCCTGTTCTCTCTGCACGTGAGTGGTGCTGAGGGCTGCCATCTTTCTAGCTCTAGCCTCAGCCTTTTTTCTCAATTTCAGACTCACGTAGCCATCTGCTTACTCTACATTTCCACTCAGTTTTCTCAAAGGTGTCTCAAACTTAACCCATCCAAAACCGAACCCTTGATTCCACCCCAAACACTCCGCCCTTCCTGAGACCTCCCCATTGTAGTAAATGGCATCAGTACTCACCTGGTTGCTCAAGCTCAGCTCCTTGGTGGCCTACCTGACCTCTCTTCCTCTCAGACCCTGTGTGTGTCCATACCCCTAGCAAATACTTTTGGCTATACCTTCAAAATCATCTAGAATCTGAGCACTTCTCACGACCCCACAGCTGCCAGCCTAGTCCAGGGCATCTTTCTAGCCCGTCTTTCTACAGTAACCATCTATCTGGTCTGCCTACCTCATTCTTGCCTATCTACAGTTTTTCCTCCACCTAACAGCTAGAAAGTTCTGTTAAAACAGAAGTCAGATCATGTCATTTCTCTGCTCAAAACTCTCCAGTGGCTTTCCCTCACACTTAGAACAAAAGCCAAAATCTAATTTATATAACCCTCAAGACCTTACATGTCCTAGCCTTGCCTTGCCTTCCCTTCCCCACTCATTTGCCTACTCCAGTCAGACTAGAGGAGCAACTTTCTAGCTCCCCAAACCTGCCAAGCACACTGCTGCTTCCAGGGGCTTTGCACTTGCCGTGCCGTCTGCCAGTAATGCGCTTCCCACCTCAGTCTTGGGGTTTGCCTCCTCTCTTCCTCTACATCTCTGCTCAAATGTCTGCTCCTCTCCAGGCCCGCCCTGACCCACCCTACCTAAAAGAGAACCTACACATGCCATCTCCATTCCCTTCCTCTGCTTGATACTTCCTAGCAGTATTTATCCCTATCTGATGTTCATTTGTATTGGTTATTATAAGAACGTCTCCCCTGTTAGCGTGTTAACTCCATGAATGCAGGGTCTTTGTTCACCACTGTAGCCCCAGTGCTGTGACTAGTGCCAGGCACATAGTAAGTATTGAATAAATATTTGTTGATTTAATTAATGAATAATATCCTAGACATTAGATCTTTGCTCATTCTCTTTCACTGAATACATAAATATACAATTGGCACTCAGCTTACAGTCTGATTGATTGATTGATTGACTGATTGATTTTAGAGACAGGGTCTTGCTAAGTCACCCAGGCTGGAGTGCAATGGTGCAATCATAGTTCACTGCAACCTAGAACTCTTGAGCTCAAAAGATCCTCCCAGCTCAGCCTCATGAGTAGCTGGGACTATAGGGGCACACCACCACACCCAGCTATATGATTTTTAAAAAATTGGTTTAAGCCACTCCTTGTTTATCTAGCCAAAGCTTATGTCAGCTTCATAGCAGTAGAAGATAAGGGAGGCAGGGTCCTTGTTACCTAGTACACACTGTGGTATTCCAATTAAATCAGGATTTATAAATAACTTTACATCTAGAGCACTCAAATTTTGTTTTCCTTGCTTTTTTCCACAATTGCTACACACTGGGAAAGTCTGGTCACAAAAAAAAATCATAAAATATGATACGCTGCCTCAGTTTCCCCTGTGTAACTGAGAACAAGATTGGATCTGAGAGGAACAGACCCAAGCAAACAGGCCTGTACTTTCCCATTCCCACTTTCAGATGCCATCTCATCCCCATTCATGAGGACTGTCACATGCGTGGATGGCTGCCACATGCTTTTGTATTACAAATCAAGTCATCTGAGTCTCAGGAACCCCACCTGCCCTGTGGGTTGCTGTGTACAACTAACTGTGTACAACCTTTCGTTGTTTGTTGGCCTACATTTCTGCTCCCGGGTCACTCCTCACTGCTTTTTTTTTTTATTTTTTATCATATATATTTAAGGGGTACAACATGATGTTTTGATATGTAAGTTCTGATAGGTGAAAATATGTATTAATACTTAGCAATTAAAATTCTAACAATTGGCAAAGTTTGGCTTGATGTTCTTAGAATCATCTAGTCTAGTTAGTGGTTCCCAAACCTGATTACTTAACAGAATTGCCTGGGCACCTTTTTGGAATACAGGTTCCCAGGTCATCCCACTCTAGCCCAGGGGTTGGGATAGGACCGTAGTGTGGTTCATGCCGCACATTCTCTCTCTGATCACATATATTCCTAGTGATATGTGCTGCATAGCAAACAAATGAAGGGCAGAAAAGTAGGAGTGGAGATGATGGGAAGGTTTCGGAGGAGGTAGCATTTGGTCTGCTGTGGGAAGTATTAGGGGAAGATCATTTCAGGTAGGAAGTAGCGTAGTGTGTTCTCAGAATTAACAGCACGCCAGGCCTGACTGCAGTACAGTGAGCGAATAAGGAAAGAACTCGGGTGCGGTGGGAGGAAGGGGCTGGGGCCACATCCCAGAGGCCTTGCAAACACTGAGGAAGAGTTTGGGTTTTATTCTGAGTGCTTTTGTTCTCCTAAGAACTTTGAATTCCGTATGGAGTAAAGATTGTAGGAGAACAAAAATGGAAGCTGTGGGACCCGAACTGTGCTCTGATGGTGAACAGGACTAAAGTGCTGGCATCAAAGAAGGAGAGGAGAAGGCAGTTTCGGGGTATATATTTTAAGGAAGTCAACAGGACTTGCTGGTGAGTCAGAGTTGGGGTGAGGGAGAGGATCGAGGAAGCAAGGATGACGCCTTGGGGGTTCTGCTAGAGGCACTATATGTCATAGTTGCCCCAACTGCCTCATCTGTAAAATGGGGGTATTAAGGGTCCCTCTCTATTGGGCCGGTGGCAAGTTGACATTTGTAAAGCACTTAGGACAGAGGTTGGCACACAGTAAAACACCATGTAAGTAATAGAAGTGATGTGGATGATGGTGATTCGTCCAAGGTTGCACAGCTGGTCAGCAGCAGGTCCAGGACAAAAAGCCAAGACTTGGCCTCTTGCTTTAGTGTATTTTATGCTACACTGAGCTGCCTCCTTCAATTACCTTTGAACTTTTTTATTTATGCCGACCCTTGCTAGAGGTTTGGTCATCACGGTACACGATGAGTCGCACTTACCGTAACATATGAGTGTTGCACCAAACATGATAAATTGCTAGGGTTTTCTGTATAGCCTGGAATTTCAGATTATTTTGGCTATCCATAAAGTGGTGCCATTCCAGATAAAACACAGGGTGTGGATGGTGGGATGAAGGAGGTACTAGAAAAGAGATGTTCTGTGGATAATTTTAAAATATTAAAAGAAATATCTTCCAGAATGTGCTCATGTTGTCCACATGCGCAGGCTGGAGTAGGCACAGGCAGTACAACAGGGATGGCCTTAAGAGTCCTTAATACCGGAAGTTACAGGTCAGTGCATGCCAGGAGAAGGAAAGAAATAAAGCTAAGAATGTTAATGCAACTCTCCCAGATTGTCAGTTTTCTAGTGATACATCTTAAAGAAGTGTTTGAAGTGCTTCTATCTGTCAGTTTCAACTAAGCTAATTTTTAAAAATTGCTCTTTGTACTGTGCCTTTCTCATGAACCTCTGGGAGTTTAATGCATGCAATATGTGGGGGGAATCCTATCAGCCTCAGTTCCCATCCCCCCAAGTCTGAGAAGCAGATTTAGAGGCACATTATTGCACCTGCAGCGGTTTGTCATTTTGTTAAATCAGACCTGAGACCATTTGCAGTGCGTCTTGTAGGAAGGAATTTCAGAAAGAGGTGAGAGAAAATGCCAACCTTTCCTCCCCCGTGTTGACTGTCTGTTTTGTTGCACCTCTATCTCAAACAGCATGGGGAGGACTGTTCTTCATTACCAGGGAATGTGAGTCATTCCCAGATTTGTGTGATTGGGATTCCAAAGCATTGCTGTATCCAATGGTCTTATTAAATCCAAGTGTCAGTGCAGCCTTTCAGACTGTAGGGGAGAGCTCAGTTACAGCTGGTGACCTGGTTCTAGTTACCACACAGAGACACTGGCGAGAGCAATGACCCCCTCCAAGTACCCAGAATTCCACATGGATGGCTGTTACCAACTGTTCCCAGATTTGAGGGTTTCCTGGTTCACTTCGTGGGCTTCAATACACTTCAGCTCCCTGTTTATATCCTGGTTGGGATCTGTATACTTAGGGGAAAATGTTCTAGTGTCTATAGACAAGCTTGTGTCAAGATTAGCATAGCTTTTGGAGGGTACCTCATTTCAGATTTATTCGGCCCTAGCAGTGTTAACTGCACTGTGTCGACCATCTAGCAAGACACCATCCATTTCCAACTTGGTCCAAACAAAACAAATAAAACATCAAGCAAAGAGGGAGGAAACTATAGACGTTGCCAAAAAATTAGTTTGCTCTCTCTTTTTTTTCTCCTAGAGTGTTTCACAGCCAATGGTGTGGATTATAGGGGAACGCAGAACTGGACAGCGCTACAAGGGGGGAAGCCATGTCTGTTCTGGAACGAGACTTTCCAGCATCCATACAACACTCTGAAATACCCCAACGGGGAGGGGGGCCTGGGCGAGCATAACTATTGCAGGTAAGATGAGGCCACTGAAACTTAAAAAAATCTCTTCCATCCCTGCTCACAACTAGGGGCCAACTCAGAAGGCCTTTCTTAGTTACTATTTTTAAACCCTTTCTCCCATACCTTACACACACACACACACACACACACACACACACACACAATCACACACCATCTACTACTCTTTTCAATTTGAGTTGCTTCGATACTGGCTTTCAGAGCTCCGCTTTCCTGTCTGGTCCTCGTCTTTTTGGGAGGGTTTTTTTAGTTGGCCCAACCACCAGTGCACAATACACAGACAGCAGAGCTGCCTAAGCTGCTGAGAATGTAGTGGTCAAACAGCACCATCTGTGACCCAAACCTCCCTCTGTTTCTGAGCAAAGGAAGCTCCTGTGTTATTCCACCTTCGGCCAGCCAGGGTAACCTGCCTGGGAGCAGCTGTGTCCATCAGATTTGTGCTGTTTACTTCCTTTCAATAGATCAAGGTGCTTCTTTGCTTTTAACCTCCTGTCTGACTCTGGAAGGGGCTCTTAACCGGACATCCATGGTGCTTCAAATGTGTATTCACAATTTCCTGGGGAGATGATCTATGGCTTTGATCAGATTCTCAAAGTTATCTGTAATTGAAACTAAATTCAGAATCACTGGTATGTAGAGACCAGAATAAAAATTGTAAGCACTTTTAATTGTACATTTTTGCTACTTATAACTAAGATCCTGGTAACAAGACTCATGGTTCAGTAATGTATTGAATTTAATCATTATTAGGACAGGTGCAAAGGCAGCCTCTTGAGCCATTAAGACAGGGAAAAATGATTGCTGAGCTACACACCATGTCCCTGGTTCTACATATATTGGAATCTCAACCATGGCACTGTTGACCCAGCTGAGCCAACATATATATTCCTGCATCAGATGGGCCACACTGTTTACTTTCTGCCCTCTACATACCTTTGCTAACATTCTAGGGCCCTTGTCATTGTCTTGAAGTCTCCAGGCCTTTAGTCTGTGTTCCTTCACCTCTGCTCTAACTTGTACCAACTGACCATCCCCCCATAGTTGCTGTTGCAGTATTTTTTTCATTTGTTATTATAAAAATGTTAAAAGCTTGTTCCAAAAAAATTTTCTCAAACACTACAGATATATATTGTTTAAATAGTTAAGGCCAGGTGCGGTGGCTCATGCCTGAAATCCTAGCACTCTGGGAGGCTGAGGTGGGAGGATTGCTTGAGCTCAGGAGTTCAAGACCAGCCTGGGCAACATAGCGAGACCCCTGTCTATACTAAAAATAGGAAAATTAGCTGGGCATCGTGGTACACGCCTTTAGTCCCAGCTACTTGGGAGGCTGAGGCAGGAGGATCACTTGAGTCCAGGAGTTTGAGGTTGCAGTGAGCTATGATGACACCACTGCACTCTACCCAAGGCGACAGAGCAAGACTCTGTCTCAAAAAAAAAAAGTTATTAATAAAATCCCCCATTTTACCTCATTCCTCGAGAGCTTCCCCACTGAGTCTAGTTACCCAGAGATAGCAACTTGTATATTTGCCACTTCACATTTTGCTATCTATTGTATTTTATTGTTGAAGTTATACATGTTCATTAAATAACTCTTTTCTATTTTATTTTCAAAGTTATACTTGTTAATTTATTTTTTGCATAAATTAAAACATGAGTCTCATTCCCCATTTCTGGTTTATTACATTTCCCTAGTTTTTCTATTTGTAGGAATAGTGGGGTTAGGTTGGGAAGAATGTTTAGGAAGAGAATCAAGTGTTTGTTTTTTGTTTTAACATAGTTACTTATCTTCTTGTTCCAAAGTGTCTCTTAATAGTAGTAGGCTGTTGGTTTATTCTATTACTCTGTTGCTTCCTATTAAGCAAGTCTTCTCAGAAGAGCACCTGTTTTTAAGTCTGACTTTAAAGTAAATTTTAAATTTCCAATGAGGCTTAATTTATATGTCAGATCTTTTTTTCTTATAGATTAGCACCCATTTCTACTGACAGGCTCCCATAAATATCCATTAAGAGAGCAGTAAAAGCCAGGAAGGACCACCTTTCTCCTTAGCTCTGGCCAGCTACAACCCTCTCCTTTGATTTGATGGAATGTACCAGACCTGAACTACCAGTTTATACTTCAAAAAAGAGTGGCTGAAATTTTTGATGATTATCATATCAGAGACTCCAAGGCTTTTTGTTTTAGTGCCGCGGCAGAGTCCAGGATGAATTTGCTTGTTCTTTATTAAGCTATTCTGATGCTTTTCAGTATGGTTTTGACATTGATAATAAACAGTTGTTTTCTAAGGGCTTTACCAAATACTACATCAAAGCCAAACACCGAATAGAGGGAGGAAAATGACAGTGAAATACTGTTTAAAGAAGGGCTTTGTACAAGTTTTACTTTGATTTCTCAGCTGACACCCGACACCGTGTTTGTCTTGTGCAACTTTTTCAGACCCATCACACTTGAGATGCCTGAGAGTTGGCGAGTGATGGGAACGCACTTCTCTGGGCTGGAAGCATCAGGATTAGAAGGGAAGGCAGAGACTGGGGGGGAACAGAGTTGGCGCTGGCACCTGCCTTTGGGCATAAGAAATAAAAGGACGCTTTGTGCTTTGAGGAAGCTTATCTTCTAGGCCCCACAATAGGCTTATCCCACTCTGGCCTGATAGGGGTTGCTCCAAAGGTCCCGCTGCAGTCTTTATGCCATTTCCGGCCTAACCCAAGTTTCAGGTTTCTGGTGTTCTGAGTCTAAATAAAAGGGGCTTGGAAAGCAGTGAAGAGCAGTGAGGCATTTCTGGGTGTCCAGCAGCCCCTGTCATTTTTTTTTTTTTTTTTTATCTGCTTGTTATTGTCATGATGTCTCTGAGTTGAAAAGACCTTCAGGGTATTTATTCCAAGCCATTCTCATTTAGAAATGTGAAATAAATCTTTAAAAAATATTATCACCATATCAGAAGTTGATACCAGGGTGGCAGGATCACACATTCTGTCTAACTGAGACTCTGGCCCAGTTTTCTTCAGAATTATCAGAGGAGTCAGTATTCTGGGGGAGAAATAGGACCCATTTCTATCAAATGTGAGTTTACTGGCCTGATCCTGCTGAGAGCTTGTCAGTGGAGTCTGTATTATGTGAATTTTATTTTAGCATTTAAAAATTACACAATTGAAGAATTCATTATAAAGGAAATAAGAAAATAAAGAAAACTCAAAACAAAAAAAATTGAAATCACCCATAGTCCCATCATCTAGACATAAATACTTTTAGGAGTTTGGTCCTTCCCTAAATATGTCTTTTTAAAACATGAGATAGTGTCATCAATTGGGTTTTATAATTGTCTCTTAAAAAAAAACCTAATAAGGCATTGTGAATATATTTCCAAATTAATAAGAAAGGTCTCTACACCACATTTTCCTTAGGTGCCTAGCATTCCCTTATATAGGAGCCGTATCTATTTAACCAATCCTTTATTGTTGGTACTTGCTGTTTCCAAGTTTTTTTTATATTATAAAAATCTTTTGTTGGACATCTTTAAAAGTAAAGACTTCCTTAGAATATATTCCTAAAGAGGAAATTGCCAAGTAAAGGATTTGCATGTTTTTAGGGCCTTTGGCTCTAATTACCAAATTGCCACCCTGTGTCAGACGTTCACATTCTCATCAGGAGCATTGAGAGCACCTATGCTCATCCAGCTGTTAGAATCTCCATGTTCATATTCAAGGTGCCAGTGCTGTTTGGCATGATTTGTGCAGTGGTCAGTTGTCCAAGATACACTATAGTGAATTTGTCTAAACAAATATCACCTTCGCTCACATCCCCCCAAACTCTGAAGTGGATGTCAGAATGTTTATGTTTGCTCTTACTGTGTTATCACTTTTTTCCTCTTGATAAGAAATAGCATTGTAGATACATAGAATTGTTCGAAATAACACAGAAACTAAAGCAATTCCTGTCCTGTAAAACTGAAAATCAGTTGACTTAAAACATCAGAAATGTCATTGATTGTGTCCTTTTCCCCAACAGAAACCCAGATGGAGACATGAGCCCCTGGTGCTATGTGGCAGAGCACGAGGATGGTGTCTACTGGAAGTACTGCGATATACCTGCTTGCCAGAGTAAGATTGCAACATACAACCTGATGGTTTACAGGCCTTTGAGCACCAAGAGTGCAGAGTGGAGGCCCCCACCAGAGGTCAGGGAGTTCAGCCTGGTGGCTTTCATGGAACATGTGAAAGGAGAAGCCATTCTGGGCTAGGGATTTTCACTCTTGTTGAGACTTTTCAGGAATAGGAGCGCCCATTGCCTCAGCACCTCATCTCGAAGGCATTCCCCTTGATGAGTAAGCCCAGTGGGAATTCCTACTTTTAGTTAATTTCTTTTTTTTTCTTTTTTTTTTTGAGAAAGGGTTTTGCTCTGTCACCCTGGCTAGAGTGCAGTGGCGTCATCATAGCTCATTGCAACCTCAAACTCCTGGGCTCAAGCGATCCTCCTGCCTTAGCCTCCCAAGTGGCTGGGACTATAGGCATGCACCCCCACACCAGGCTAATTTTTTATTTTTTGTAGAGATGGGGGTCTCACTCTTGCTCAGACTGGTCTCAAACTCCTGACTCGAGATGCTGTCTCTACTAAAACCAGAAAACTTAGCACAGAACTACTAAAAATAGAAAAAAATTAGCTGGGTGTGGTGGTACGTGCCTGTAGTCCCAGCTACTCGGGAGACTGAGGCAGCAGGATGGCTTGAGCCCAGGAGTTTGAGGTTGCTGTGAGCTAGGCTGACGTCACAGCACTCTAGCCCGGGCAACAGAGTGAGATTCTGTCTCAAAAAAAAAAAAAAAAAAAAAAAAGATGTTATAGTGCAACCCATTCATTACTTATGTGTTTGTGGGGATGCTGATATAAACAAACTTATTGCTCAGCCAGTCACTGGTTTATGTGTTCCCTATACCATACTTTTTTTTCCTTTTTTAACATATTAGAGACAGGGTCTCACTGTGTTGCCCAGGCTGGTCTCAAACTCCTGGGCTCAAGCCATCCTCCCAGCCTTCCTCGTAGCTGGGATTACAGGCACAAGCCACAGTGCTTGGCTCTTTACTATACTTTGTATCATTATTTTACAGAATACTCCTTGTACTTGTTAAAAAAAGTTAACTGTAAAACAACCTCAGGCAGGTCCTTCAGGAGCTATTCCAGAGGAAGACATTGTTATCGTACAAAATGACAGCTCCATGCATGTTATTGCCCCAGAAGACCCTCCAGTGGGACAAGATATGGAAGTAGAAGACAGTGATGTTGATGATCCTGACCCTGTTGTAGACCTAGGTTAATGTGTGTGTTTGTGTCTTAGTGGCTTGTTTTTTTTTAAGTTTAAAAAGCAAAAAGAAAATTAAAAATTTTTTAAAGAGAAAAAAGCTTATATACCATAAGGATATAAAGAAAGAAAATATTTTTGTGTAGCTGTACAATTTGTGTTTAAAGCTAAGTGTTATTACAAAAGAGTCAAAAAGTTTAAAAAAAATTAAAAGTTTATAAAGTAAAAAAGTTACAGTAAGCTAAGGCTAATTTATTATTGAAGAAAGAAAAAAATTGTAATAAATTTAGTACAGCTGAAGTGTACAGTGTTCATAAAGTCTACAGAAGTGTACAGTAATGTCGTAGATCTTCACACTCCCTCCCCACTCACATAGAGCAACCTCCAGTCCTGCACACTCCTTTCATGGGAAGTGCCCTGTATCAGTGTACCGTCTTTTATCTTTTATACCCTATTCTTACTGTTACCTTTTCTGTGTTTAGATATGTTTAGATAAACAAATTCTTACCATTGTGTTACAGTTGCCTGCAGTATTCAGTAAAGGAACATGCTGTTCAGGTGCAGCCTGGGAGCGATAGCTATACCAGGTAGCCTAGGCGTGTGGAAGGCCGTCCCATCGAGGTTTGTGCAGTGTACTCTGTGATGTTCATATGATGTTCACACAAGGACAGAATCACCTGATGCATTTCTCAGAACACATCCCTGTCGTTAAGTGATGCGTGACTGTACTTTATAAAAAGGTAGAGAAAATATTGTAAAAAGCTTTTGCAGAAGGTTTAAAATATAGGGACTAAAACTACATCTGGTACTATAACGAGTTTACTCATGTAGTGTTTATAATGTATTTTAAAATAGGCCAGAGGAGAAAGGGTTCTCAGTGCCTAGAGCTGAAGAAAAGGACAGTTCATTCACATTGATTCTGCCTGGCTTATTTTTTCCTTATTATTTAAACCTACTCTTTGCCCGGCCACCTTTCTCACCCTTCAGGTCAGGAGGCTTGTGTACGTGGAGGGGCATGGAGGTTTACGTGGAACCTGGAACTACTCTCACCCGTGCCTGAACAGCAGTCTGACTTCCGACGCCTCCAGGGGAAAGGGCAGCCCCTGAGCCAGAGCCGTGAGCCCAGTACTTGCCTCTCCTAATATAAACTTTCAAATGTCACCACTGCCTGGCAGTTAGGCCCTGGCTTCACTGTCCTTCCAACCTGAGCATGCCTTCGTTCAGTCCCCAAACTGAGAAAACAGTAAAGACCAGAAGAATGGGCCTTTGCTCAGTCTGATTAATCAGATTTTTAAAATGAAAAACATCTCATTTGGCTCTAGTTATGTAAAGAAGGAAGGGGCAGGGGGAGAGGAAAGCACGTTTTTCTCGGTCCATTTGTTCTACACAAAGATAGTCTTTTAGAACCAGCCTATGTCATCCTCTCAAGAGTGGCGAAGAGGGGGTTTCAATCTGGGCACTTTCATTGGGAAAGATAATCTCCAGCCTCCATTTATAAATACAATCTGGACCAAGAGGACCTGATTCGTGTGGTCACTGAAACTAGGTTCCAGAAGAACAAATTATAGCAAAATGGTATTATACAAGGTATCTAGTATGCCTCTAATTTGTATTATCTGCTGGATATGCTATACTGATCCAAAAAGGAAAATTAAATATCATTTCAGGTTTTTTTGGCCCTTTGATAACTCTCTAAAAGCTGTAAAGCCGGCCTTGAAATGTTCCGGGCAGGGAGACTTGCGTAAGTTGGGAATGAGAACTCAATAGTACCTGATTTCTGAGGGTGGAGGGTGAGCCATGTCTGGCTTTGGTTCTTAGGAAAACCCAGCAGTTTGCTCTGTGGGCACCAGGGCTCCCCATCAAGCTGACTTTAGACCTCGAGTCTGGCAGAATATTGTACTTTTAGTGTGTCAAATTAACATAGTTGAGGAAAAACTCTTGTGCTCTTTGCAGCAAGAGACTTTGGTAATTGCCTGGTAGATTTAACAGACATACAGCCTGCCTACTCTAGGCTACTTTAGCCCTATTTCTAGATGTGGAGTCACAGTTTTTATGAATAATTCTAACCCCTCTGTGTGAAGCCTGCTATTCATGATTAGCATTGAACTTGTCATACAGGAAAAGGCCTGTGACATGATCAGATTCCTGGAAAGTTCATATCTGAATATAACAGACCCAGCAGGAGCCAGGGGGAATGAATGTTTACGGACAAAGCAGAATCTGGTTGAATGGTGGGCTATTGTGTGGAGACCGGAATCTCTGCCCCTTGGCGTGTTTGTTACATGGAGAGCTACAACGGGCAGGAGGCAGAGATGAAGTATGATTCAAAAGGGGGCAAAGAGAAATGAGCACTGTGCTCTTGACCTGCAGAGCATGGATCAGCACCTACTGTTAAAAGGAGAACAACTCCGAGGTAATTAGATTTGCCCCCAGACTGCTTCTGCCCTGTGTTTCTCAGAAACCCTAAGTTCTTACTGCAGCCAGGAGAAACACAGATTTTAAAAGGAAATTCTAACGTCATCAAGTTAAACATCTCCCTAGATCCCACCCTCTAGATCTCTAAGTCTTGTTGGTTTGGCTCTTGAGAGGAAAATCGTTTGGGTTAATATCCTTCACATAGTTCTCTTTTGTTAAATAACCATCCTAACTTTTGTAATTCCTTTTATTCATTGCTTTTGAGGGACATGCTTGTGTGGACCTCGGCATGGCTTTTGCTTTATTCTATTTTACCTGTAGGTTCTTTATAAAAGTTTTGTGGGGTTTTGAAAAAGTAAATAATATAACTGTGAGTTGAGTAGGGGGAGAATCTGCAAATGGCAGTTAATAGCAAATATAATTTTCTTCACGTAGTTGATTCGGTCCTGAGGCCAGGAGCATGAGAAATTTATCTTCTCATCTCTGAGAGCTATTTTTTGTTTGCTAAAAAATATTCACCTGATTTCTACAAATCCATTTACAAAAATTCATTTTTAAAATAGGGAAATTTGAACACAGATTAAGTATTAGACAATATTAAGGAATTACTGTTAATTTTATTAGCTACAATAATGGCATGGTGGTTAAGTCCTTTTAAATTATAGGTCCAGACTGGTCCAAGTGCAGTGGTGTTTACAACTAATTAATCACAACCAGTTACAGATCTCTTTGTTCTTTTTCTTCCTGCTTCACTTGACTAGCCTAAAAATAAAAAAAACAAATAAATAATATATTGCAGGTACATGCTAAAATATTTGTGGTTAAAATGACATTGTATCTGGGATTTGTTTTAAAACAATCCAGCCCCTCAAAGAGTGACTAGGTTAGGACGAGGGAAATAGATGAAACAAGAATGGTTTAAAAAAAAAATTTGTTGATCCTGAGTGATCAACAAATTCTACCTTTTTTTTTCCTTTTTTTGAGACAGAGCCTTGCTTTGTTGTACAAGCTTGAGTGCAATGGTGCAGTCATAGCTCACTGCAGTCCCAAACTCCTGGGCTCAAGCAATCCACCTGCCTTTTGAGACAGTCTCACTCTGTTGCCCAGGCTACAGTGCAGTGATGTCATCACAGCTCACTACAACCTCCAACAGCTGGGCTCAAGTGATCCTCCTACCTTAGCCTCCCAAGTAGCTGGGACTACAGGCAAGCACCACAACACCTGGCTGAGTTTTCTATTTTTTGTAGAGATGGAGTCTTGCTCTGTTGCCCAGGCTAGTCTCAAACTCCTGGCCTCAAGTGATCCTCCCAGGTCGACCCTCCAAAGTGCTAGGATTACAGGCATGGACCACCACGTCCGGCTCAGATTCTACATTCCTAACAAGCTCCCAGG